CCTTAAAGAGCTTACAAATTTAATTTGAAATAAGATACTTCAGTAAGAATGTGCAAAAACTGAAGAAATACTACATTATCATAAAGTCTACATACATTACAGAATGGTTGCCCTACATGTCTTCTCAGACAAACAAAGCTAAGCTATACTCACTGTAGTGGTTCATGTGGGGCTGAAATGACCTTTAAACACAATGTCAGATACTTCCTTCCTTGAGCTAACCAATACAAGTCAGAAAATGCTACAAAGTAAAGTACACTATGTATTATACGCTAGGTATAATATACAAACTTTGATATCCACACAGCATTGTTATGGATGCAAATGTAAGAACTGAAACAAAGAAACATTAAAAATATATTGAGAATTTAAAGAGGAATTTTGAATTGCTAGAATTTAAACATCCAACTCTCACTAAAATTTGTATTATAATATGGAAAATTTCTTTGTTAATTTCAACTTACAACATATTCCACCCACCACCTGTCAGTTTTGGGGAGCTAAATCTAAAAGCAGGGGATCAAAGACAAACAACTTATCATGGTAGAACAGAAAAAATCTACACAACTAGAAGTACTATGCAAAACCAAGCAACTTAAGATGTACTATGCCAACTCCAGCTTGAAACTTTTTACACACTTCCGAAGGCAAATTACATTGAACTATATGCCATTATTTACCCACATGCATAAAAAACCTCTGCTTCATTAATTAGTCTTAAGAGTATACAGACAAACAATAAGTATTATTAAACTATAGAATGTACAACAATGAAATTCTAATCCATTAGTCTCATATTCAGTAAAGAATTTCTGAAATCAAAAGCAGTGATTCTTATAAGCATACTATTTTTTTTTATTGTTCTTCTATTCTAGAATTAGTAACTCTAATCAATTAGCACTTCTATCCCTTCTACAGTTCAGACGTTGTAATGCCTATTTTATCCATACAAAGTTTCAGTAAGAACAAAAAAAACTACACAAAGCAACACATTAATTTAAAGAAAAAAAAAAAAAAAACCACAACAAAAACAAACAAACAAACAACATTGTCCCTTTAGGAATCAGTGAGAGAAAGTCCTCAGATTTGTCCCAGAGGAATTCAGGAGAGCTTTGTCAAGAAGTCATCACACCTGAAAGCCCAGCTGAAGTGCCTCTACAACAATGCACTCACCTTGGGAAATAAACTGGAGAAAATGGAAACTGCATTGCTATTAGAAAACTGCAACCTGCTTGCTATCACAGAAACATGGTAGGACAGACAGTACAGCTGGTTCCCTACACTCAAGGGCTATGAGCTTTTTTTAGAAGATACTGACAGGGAAGGAGTAGCAGGAGTTGCCCTCTGTTAAGAAATGGATAGATGGTAAATAGGCATCTCTGAGAAACAGGCACAATCAGGTTGAGAACTTATAGGTTAAAATTAGGGACCAGACCAATAGAGGACATTTGGTGGCTGCCAGATCAAGGGGAGCTGTTGATAAGGCCTTCTTTCTTCAGCTACACGAAGCAACACATTCTCAGTGTTTCATCCTGACAGGGGATTTCAACCACCCAGGTGTACGCTGGGAAAGAAACTTAGCTACAAACTACCCAGAAGACTCGAGTCAATTCAGGAAAACTTCCTCATCCAGGTACCATAAAAAAAGCAACCAAACCTGGTGCTCACCACTGCAGAGGAGATAACTAAACAGTCTGAGATTGGAGACTGACTGGGGCATTGTGACCACACCCTTGTTGAGTTCAAGACCCTGAGAAATATGGGACTGGCAAAGAGCAAGTCAGGACCCTGAACTTCAGGAAAGCACAGTTCTAGCTGCTTAGGGAATGTTGCTGATGTGGTTGCCAAGCCACTCTCATTCATATTTGACAAGTTGTGACTATCAGGTGAAGCTCCCAGTAACTGGAAAAAGGGAAACATCATTCCCATTTTTAATAAAGGGAGAAAGGAAAAGCAAGGGATCTACAGGCCAACAATCCTCACTCCTGTGCCTGGGAAGATCGTGGTACTCATCTTTTTGGAAGATATGCTCTTTAAAGTACACTCAAGACAATGTATTCTGAAACAATAAGCACAGCTTCACCAAGGGCGGATTGTGGCAGACCAGGCTGGTGACACATGAGGGAATGACAGGAACAATGGACAAAGGAAGGTCAAATTATGAAATCTACCTGGACCTGAGCAAGGCATTTGGCATGGCCTAGCACATTATCTCTAAATTGCAGAAATACAGATTAGAATGGTGGACTATTCAGTGGATAAAGAATTGTTTGGGTGATTGTAACTGGAGAATTGTGGTCTGTGGACCTATTTCCAGGCAGAGGCCAGCCATGAGTGGTATTCCCTAATGGCTCTGTCTTGGGACTGGTGTTCTTCAATGTTTTTATTAATGATTTACACAATGAGATTGAGCATATTCTCAGTAAGTTTGCAGAGGACACTAGCCTGAGTGTTACAGTAGACACAACAGAAGGAACAGTTGCCATCCAGAGGGACCTAGACATCAAGACCTACTTGAGAAAGGCAAGGCACTGCACTTCGACTGGGGCAATCCCAGCTACATATGCCGGCTAGAAGAACTCCTTGAGAGCAGTCCGATGAAAAAGGCCTTTGGAGGATCCTGGAGGATGAAAAGATTAGCACAAGCCAACTGTGTGTGCGTTTGCAGCCCAGAATGCCTGGGCTGAATAAAAAGAGCAGTGGCCAGCAGTGAGAAGGAGGTGACTGAACACCATTGTTTGTCCTTGTGAGGCCCCATCTGGAGTATCGCACACAGGCCTGAGGTCTACAGTGCAAAACATGAGTTTCTGGAGCAGGTTAAGAGGAGGGCTACAAAGATGATCAGAGAGCTGGAGAACCTCTCCTATGAAGAAATGTTGAGGCAGTCAGGGTTGTTTAGCTTGGAGAAGAGAAGGCTCTGGGGAAACCTGACTGTAGCCTTTCAGTTCTTGAATGGAGCTTACGAGCAAGAGGGAGACCAACTTTCTATATGGTTTCATACAGACAGAACAAGAGGGAATGATTTTAAACTAGAAGAGGGAAGGTATAGGTTAGATGTTAGGCAAGCATTGTTTACTCAGAGGGTGGTGAGGCACCAGCACAAGTCATCCTGCATGATCTCCAGAAGCATTCAAGGCAAGGTTGGATGGGGCTGTGGGCAGCCTGAGCTGGTGGGTGGCAGCCCTGCCCATAGCAGGTGGTTGGAACCAGATGATCTTAACGTCCCTTCTAACCGAAGACGTTTTATGATTCATTGATCTTTGTCCTTCAAACCAAAATAATTGTATGAAGAGCTTGCAATACTACAATGCCTAGAAACATGTAAGAAAAAAACCAGTAAGTTTTATTTAAATTCCTATGAAGTATCACTGTATTTCAATGCCAAAAAACTCCTATTTATTTTTTTTCTTTTTATATTTCAAATAGCATAGCACCCTCTGGTGCATCTACTACAAGTAAAATAACTTAATAAAAGCTAGTCATTGTTACAGAAAACACACGGTTAGTAAACAAAGAAAAAACAAGGAGCTCCAAGTTAAAAATAAAAAATAATAATAATAAAAAAAATCACCTGACCAAGAAGTGTTAGAAAAGAAAGAATCTAGTTTATTAAAACCAATTGTAATAGAATTACAAATGTTACAGAATAAAAAAAAAAGGCTGGCAAAATTACTTTTGTGACAAAAGTGTTAAGACCAAAAAAGTTTGAAACTAATTCTGTATTCTTAATATGTCATTTTTACTGAAAAATAAAACCTAATAAATCTTAAATGATACAAAGGTAAAAATAAGTTTTTAGTGAAACAAAGTGTTACAACGAGCTATATTTCTGCTCTTTGTCTTGCAAGCAGGACAATAACTATTTGTTCATATAGTCATGAAACAAAAAATCTCATATTCAAAGTCACATCCCCTTTAAAAATCTGATGATAAAATAATTTTCAAAAGTATCACACTATTGTGCTGTATGTTGAATGCTTGAAACTCTGATACTATATGTTAACTATTAAAACATGTCCAGTGACTGGGAAAATAATTTCCTAGCAAAGTAAATCTTGCTAATCACAAAAGCAGAAAACACCACCTGCTTTAGGCAGCTCTTTTGTGAACCTCTGGAAGTCTCAACACAATGCACAAGGAATGAAAGTAACACCTGTTTAAACTAGCCATCTGTCCCTACCAAACCAGATTTAGCTAAAAATCAGTGTATGTACGCTGCTACTTAAACTTCCAAAATATAAATATACAGGTGCTACCCTGTAAGCAAAGAGAAGTAAAAACACCTTTACCAGAAATACAAAAATAATAATATCAAACTTGCGGCTAACAGAAAAGCATTATCTTCAATATTAGTTTATATTGATCAAAAGCTTCATTAATTTGTCATTTCTCACCCTTAGTTTTAAAAATAAATTTCATAAATAAAATGTATAAAAATAATACTTTGTTTGCTCTAACATATTTATATGGTAACAAGCTTGTTTTAAGAACACAACTTCATCTACAAGAACACTACAGTATCATTTGAAGTTTTCATTCTGTATTTGTGATGCATTCACAACACATCACTTCAATTTTAAATAATTGTAAGAAGTAAACAAATGAGCTTCTGAAAGTGAGAGTATTTTACATAATAGCTGGCAAGTTTTTAAAGAGTATGGAATGTTCTAAGAAGGAAAGAGGTCAAAGTAAAGCATGAAGACCAGAACCAGAAATACTAGCTAGAACACCAAAAGAACAGCAATACTATAAGACCATTGCTTTGTAGATACTTTGTTATGTTTCAAGTAAAAAGAAATGAAAAAAATCTTCCTTCTCAATGGAAAGTTTTATAAACTATATTAAACAGTAACATTTATTTCTGTATACAGTTCTGTGATTAACAAACTACCACACAACTACCGCACCAGGTGGAAACATGAAATTGGATAGAGCTAACAAAGCTGAACCTAATTATGAAATAAAGCACCCTGACTTCAAACTTCGTAACAACATTGTACCTTTAATTCCCATTTCATTTATTTTCACTGCATCATTGAAGGGCTCCTCCATAGTACAATGTAAGCTAGCTAAAGCACATCGAAGCCTATGATCCACGAAGACTCATTAGAGTATGCTGAAACAATTTAAAACAATGTTACACAGACAGTTACACAGTGTAAGTCATGAAAATGAATGTTAAAAAAAATAAAAATAAAAAAATAAAATCACAAGCCACTTCATTTTCAAATGCTGGTTAGCATCACAAACACCAACTATTTTGACAGCTGAGGGCATTAGGGAATCAAATGCATAAAGCAGATATCATCTGTGACCACTAAAATATTTCAGAAAGAATAAAGGCTCAACAGTTTTCCCTTTCAGGTCCCTAATATTAATTGAGTTGATCATGGTTGATTTATTACAGTTTTTCAAACAGCAGGCTTAACAAAATACAGCTAAGTAATATTAGAAGAAGTCTTCGGTTTTAGATAAAATTACATACTTTAACATGACTTTTAAAACACTTCTGTACAGAAAAAAAACAAAAACAAAAAAAACTTATAAAACTCTCTCAGTCTGTGTGTTTCCTTTGCGACCACAGGTCTGGATGCTTGTCCTTCAAGGACAGACCTCAACATCCAGGAAGAAAGGCATCCTGGACAGGGCTCTGTCCTGTTGAAAGAAGGCTACTCAGGAGAGGCATGGTGTAGAGCTGACACCAGCTTTTTCAACATCAAGTAAATGCATCGAATGGTTTAGTGACTGATGAATCACATACATAATGTAATAACAATGAAATTAAGATTTAAATCTGCCATATAACTGATGTAGTAAAATAACCTTCTGACTCCATATACATATAACTGAATTGTTACTCACTCTGAATGTTCTTAATATCTCTCAAAGTTATTTTGTAGCAGTACGCGCAAAATCAGCACTTGACGGCTTCATCTTGAATAAAATGATGACAACATAGACGTCTTTGGTAATTACCCAAAATAGAATTATTTTCATTCACATACTTTCTTTCTGAAAAAAAAAAAAAAAACACCAAAAAAAAACCAAAACAAACCGAAACAAAAAAAACACAAAAAAATCCCACAATCTGCCTTGCCTTAAGAAACATTGATATAAATGAAAGATGTATCACAGTTGATGACCATCTGGAAAAAATGACCTGTCACATTCATTGGTAGGTCCATTATGAGATAAAACAACATATCCTTGTTGGCAAAGAAAAAACTTATAAACAGAGTTCCGCTAAAGGTATTCAAATAGAAAAGGTGTAGGATTTTTAATAATAAATTAATAATAAAGAATTTTTTTTATTATGTTTTCCCTTAACGATTTAATTAAATAAAGGAAATAAGTAAGTCACCACTACAAAAAAGAAAAAAAGTCTGCCACACCGAAAGGTGATTTGGCATGTCAAGGAAGAGAGCACAACTGGATATAGAGATGTTAAATGATAATTTTAATCACCAAAAAAGATGCCAGAAGCATACTTTATCCCAAAGAACTTAAAAAAAAAAAAAAAAAAAGTAAACAAAGTATAATTTTCTACCTCCAACAATACAGCAATGCAAGTCTTTAGATCTTAACAACTAAAAAAAAAAAAAAAGCTAACCAATCAACCAACCAAATAAAAAACAAACAAACAAAAAAAAACCACTGGTATTTTGGATTAAAAAAAAAAAAAAAGAAGAAGAAAAGAAAAAATATCATCATTGATAACATAATTTTTACTTCAACCTCTTGTGAGGTAAAAAGGTGCCTCTTCCTTTCTTTCCCAAGCATCCTCTTGAAATGCAGCTGCAGTAACAAAAAATCACAAATCACAAAGACATTTTTAATTTCTTCCCTCTGCTTCTTAGCACACAAACTTGCAGTGACAGTGAAACGTCTCAGATTTCTTTGATTGTGGAGAGTTTAAGAAAACTCGTAAGGATCCTCTCCCATGTACATAATGTGCATTTACTCCATCTACATGCACACTACACCATACTAAACTGGCAACATAAAAATGTAATAACAGCAATATAGTAATAATTCCTAGAAGGATTGCAAGAAGAAAAAAAAAAAGAAACCCGCAACTATGTGTATGGGTGGGGGTACCGAATAAACAGGAAAACACAGTACAAAGAAAATGCAGTTTATCCTAAAATAAGAAAGGACATTAATTATGGATAAATGAAAGGGGGAAAAAAGAAAAAAAGAAAAAAAAGAAAAAGAAAAAAAAAAAAAAGAAAGAAAAGAAAAGAAAAGAAAAGAAAAAGAAAGAAAGAAAAAGAAAGGTTTGGCTGAAAAAACACAGAGAGTGACCGATCGCATATACAGGAGTCTCACTGGAGCCTATGGAAGTTGGCAAACACCTGCACCTCCGGCAGCCACACGGACCAGAACAAGGCCCCTCGCTCTGCGCTGTGCAATGGGATCCATCTCCGCTGCTTCTTTCCTCCCACCTCCACCCCCAAGATGTTGTATTCTTTTTTGTTGTGGCTGTTGTTTTTTGCATAATAATAATTATTATTATTTAAAGAACACAATCTTAGCTTGTGCCCGAAGTCTCGTCTCCCAAAATTCCCTCGTCCCCACATCCCCCCCCTCCGCTTGAACAGGAGACGACGGAAGACGCGTACCCATCGCATCCACGCGATTGTCCCGCAGGTCCCAGCAGCGCCTTCGTCCCCGCACGGCCGAGCCCCTGCTCCCCGCTCAGCCGGCCCCACCGCGCGCTTCCCTCGGCCCCGCGGACACCCCCATCCCGCCGCCCCCCGCCGCGCGCTCCCACGCCGAGGCGGCGGGGCCGGGCGAGAGGGACGGCAACGGAGAAGGCTGCGGGGCCGGGCGAGCGATCCGCGCTCCCCCGCCGCCCCTCCGTCACACGCCGCGGCGCGACGGAGCGTCTCCGGCCCGGATGCCGCGAGGTGGGGGGACGCAGAAGCCGGGGGAAGGAGAGCGGAGGGAGGGCCGGCGTGCGCCCGGCGAGAGCACTCACCTGGGCTGAGGCGGGCTGCGGTGCTGCTCCGGCTGTCGCTGCTGCTGGAGGCGGCTGTTGTTGTTGTTGTTGTTGTTGTGGGTGACGATGAGGAAGGGGGTGAGGATGGGGGTGAGGAGCAGCAGGAGGAGGAGGAGGAGCAGGAGAGGAGCGGTTGTTGTTGATGGGTAACAGTCGCCAGGACTACGGTGACTATGGCGCTTGATTCACAAGGCAACGGTTGCTATAACTCACAAAAGGGAGAGCGAGCGAGGGAGGAGGAGGCGGCGGCCCAGTCGGAGAGGCCCGGAAGAGGCGGGGCCTGCCCTGACTGACGGCCCGGGGCCGAGCGCTACCTGCTCCCTCCGGCGGGCCGGGCGTCGTCCGCCGCGCCCCCGCTCATCCGTCGCGCCAGGACCGCCCGCGCGATACACGCGGTGCCGGCGGCGGAGCGCGCGGGCCGGTAAGGCTGTGGCGATACCGGACCCGGGCCCGAGGCGTGGCCGCGCGGGGGCCGCCTGACGCCACATCCGGCGGGCGGGCGTTGGAGCCCGGCCCCGGCGCGCTGCCCGCCGCGGGGGTCGTGCCGCGCCCGCTGTCGGTCGAGGGGCCGCCGCTGGCGGAGGAGCGGGAGGGAAGTTACGCCCGGCGGCGGCTGCTCGCCTCCCCCTGCGGCCGCCTATCGCGGCACCCCGCGCCTTCATCGGAAATAAAAAAAAAAAGCCCCCGCTAACGGTGGGGGAGCTGCCCGTCTGCCGCCATCTTGAGGCGGAGGGGATGGCGCGGGCCGAGCCCGCCGAGTTGCGGCCATCCGGCGCGGCCTCAGTCGGGCGTCTCTGGCGAGGAGTCGGCCCGCGGTGGGGTCGATTCCCTGGGGCGTCCTCTCTCGTCCTCCAGCCGCCTCGTTTCTGTCACAGCCTTGAGCTGTGAGCAGCCGGTGGGGTTGTGGCGGCCGTGAGTGAAGAACAGCGCGGTTGAGAATCCACCCTGCCACCAACCCGCGCCTGTGCTGCGTTGGGATGTGTGTTTAGGGAACAGGAGAGATGGGGATTGAGGCTGTTTTGTGGCCGTATACAGTTCCAGCACACCCAGTGGGTAGCGCAGTGTTCCTTTGTAGCCCTGGTGCATCCCAGCCTGCAGCTCTTTGCTAGCCTGTGAAGTGTCTGTGAATTGTCTTTGCATAGCTCCTGCAGTCTATTGCTGACAGTGCTTGCCATAGAAAGCACCTAATTGAGTTCTATGCACCCTTCCACGTCCCTTTATCTTGCCATTATCTATACACAGCTCGACAATTCTTACTTCTCACATCAGTCCCTAGAACTTCCTCGTATTTGCCTCACAAACCCTGGTACTACTCCATTACAGCTGTCCCTAGAGACTGAAATTGCCCTTAAGTACTAAACAGAAGTATTTTCATCCCGTGAATAGGTGTACTGTGATTTTTAAAGCCCAATGTAACCATCATGGCTCTAACAATTGCCTACAAAAAATTACTGGGAAATATGAAAGTGTGTAAAAATCAAACCTGAATCAACACAGCATTACATTTACAACAGAACAATCCTGAATAGTAGAATGGTGTAGTTTTACAGATGAAACTAATCTGAAATGCAGTAGCAGTAACTACTCTATTTGGTTATTCAGCTGTAGAATCTTGAATGCTTGAAGAGCTTACCTTCACTTTGCGACAGTAGCCTTGCCAATCAGAAACACTGAGATAAAATCGTAAAAAGTAACAAAAATGGATAGTGTTGTCTTACATTGTTCATTTGAAGGCAAGCTGTATTTCAGTAGACATCTGTTACCCTATCTATCCAGTAAATAAAAGTTGCTTTATTTAGGTGATAATGCACTGAAAGCTTGGAGGATTTGTGCTTTCATTGATTTCTCATTTTCTTGTGAACAATATGAAGGAGGGGACAGTGAGTGATTTCAGAAAAAAAAAAAAAAAAAGAAAATGTTGCCAGAAGGATATGACTAATTCTGTGGAAATGCCTAACCAAATTTCATCTGATCCATGCTGGTAAAGAGAGTTTTTATTTCAAGGATTTTAATACTTAGTATTATACTGTCCTTTCTCTTATGTCAAGTTGTTGCTTGCAAGCATATTTGCTTTGCAAGATGAACAGGATGACCTGTCATAAAGTTGAAGGATAAAATCTCTTGGCTATTAGTTTGCATTCTTAAATCATGGAACTTTATATTTCTGTCCTCGTTGAAAAATGGTATCAAGCCCAGTCAGACCTTGGCATAAATGTGATACACATATATACATTTGTTGCCACCCTTGAATTAATGTGTTTGCAGAATATTTAAATCTCTATTAACATCTCAGTCTCTAAATACATAATCACTTGCTATGTCAGAAGGAGGGTCATGGCTTCTTTTGTTAGTGGGAAATTGTTGAATCACTTCAATGTTTTGATCCTTTCATCTATGAAATTTGTTTGCAGAGCTGTCTGCACTAATCAATCAGAGCCTAACAGAAACTGAAGTCCTGCTTCAAAACATTGTGAATACATATATATTTTTTTTTCAAACTTCAGAATTTGAATTTTTGGTCTTTATCAAAATACACATCTCATCTTAGTATTTGAAGAAATGTCATTTTTTCTTAGCAACAGTTACATATTTCTAGATAATCAACAGAGCATTAAATCACGTCATATGGCTATGGTAAATAGTGATAATATTAATCAACCTTTCAAATTAAAATATGGAAAAAAAAATCTTTTCATTAAAAGTATTGCTAAAAACTTTGTAATTTGTGGTTAGATGCAAAATACACTGCATCTCTCAAAAAAAAAAAAAAAGATTATGGCTTTGCACATGGACAAGTAATAATCAAAATAATTAACATTTTTCAACACTGAATTAAAGCAAGAGTAGACAGACATTTCTTGTACTTGCTTTTTTTGCTTTCAGACTGAACACTTCTACAAATAATTGTTTCTGTACCAAGGAATTTATAGTGAAATCTCTTATATAGAGAAAGATAACGGAGAAGATGCTACTCCTATCATTTTTTTTTTTTTCTGATTATAAATTTTAATGAAATCACTTTTTGATCTTCATCAGAATTACATTCCTATCCCTTCCATTTTCTGAGAGAAGAATTCATTAAGAGCAACCCAGAAGAGAAGCCCTGGACTTGGATGTCCTAGTGAATGAAAAGCTTAATGCAAGCCAGCAGCTTGTTCTCGCAGCCTGTACCAACACTATCCTGGGCCAGTGACTCCTCATAGGACTTGTAGTGGTTTTAAACTAAAAAAGTAGAGATTTAGATTAGGTAATAGGAGGAAAGTTTTCACTCAGGATGATAAAGAACTGGCACAGGCTGCAGCTGTGGTTGCCTCATTTCTGGAGATGCTCAGGGCCAAGTTGAATGGGGTCATGAGAGCCTGATCTAATGAGTGACAACCCTGCCTGCAGCAAGGGTTTGGAACTAGATGGTCTTTAAGGTTCCTTCCAACCCAAGCCACTCGGATTTGATTCAAAGAATACAGAGCTTGACCATTTCTTACAGAGTCATAATTAGTTCATCTGATATTTCATACAACAAAGTCCATTTTTTTGTTAAATCGATTTCATATTGTTTTTTACATTTCCAAATGTTTTTCAGATATATTCTGTCATTTGCAGCATATCTAAGAAGTACCACAACACATTCCTCTCAGCCATACCATGCAGAACAATTATGTATTTATCTTATGAAATAATATAAAGGCAAGTCAAAATACTAAAGTAGGTAAGAGCATACAAACTGTTTCAGACCAAGGATGCATCTTCCCAGTTCACAGAAGTGCATGCTTAAATAAATGCAAAAACAAGCACATACATGTATTTCACTAGGTCTTTACTACTCTGTGTCCCAGGGATTGTCTAAAACCTTCATAATCTGTTTTTATTGTCATCTTCAGAGAATTTTTTCCAAGAATTTGTCAAGTCTCCCATAAAACTCGTGCATTCATGCCATCATTTATCAAGAAGAGCCATGCTGTAAGAATAAATGCTGTATAGTAAATGCTGTATGAAAAAAAAAAAGCAATTTTGCATTCTCTAAAGTCTAGTTGTTGTCTTGTCTTTTTTGTTCTTGTGAATACTCACCATGGGGAGAAGATGAAGAAGATAGTTTAGATGTTATAAAGAATTAGGCAGTTTAGGTGCAGATGTGTAGGCTATGCTGTCTTGGCTGCTTGTCATGTTTCTTTGATTACCCATGTAAGTACGCAGACAAGAACATGGTTCTGCTTAGCTAAATTGGTTATTATTACTGATAAGTAAATACTATTAAACACCTATATTATGCTTTCTTAAGGCCATAACAAGTCACTCACCACTGAGCATTTTGTTTCCCTCATGATACCCTCTTGTCTTGGCGCTCTAGATGGATCCAGCATGTGTAATAGGAGTTCTCTGAATGTCTGTTAATATATTGGATTTTTATAGGATTAGGTGAGATTAGCCTGGTCCATAATCTCAGTTCCTTGTTCATGTGAACAGTATTTCCTTTTTAATGCTGATTTTTCTTCATCTATGGAATCCTTGCCATTTGTTTGGGACTAATATCTGTGTCAGTCTGTACCAGATAGCTGAGGAATGGTGAGTTCTTTGTTGCTTCTGGACTGCCAGCACAGCCTGGATGTTTGACCCTGAGGGTGAAAGCTGTTGGCCGTACTGCCTCTCTGGCCAGAAAATCAGTGGGTATATCTACCTTGTGGCTTCTCAAGTCCTGTGTAATTTGGACACTACTGTGATACTGCTCTGGAAACGCTCAGTTCTGACAAAGATGAGTTTGTGTCTTTTCCACTGTACCCTAGCTTCTATCCTCTCATCAGAAATTAATGAGACCACCAGTAGGTGACTGTCAGGCTTGCTAATACTTTCTCCACACAGTTTTACAAGAAATGTGCTTTCCTGGGATCCCTGTTTTGTTTTGTTTTTCCCATAAGGCACCCTATTGACAATTCTGAGACAGGAGACATTGACAGTACTATCATTTGCAGAGATGAGGAGGAAACAAGATGGCAAGAAGTGGAGGCTTACAGTGAAAAGCAAACATAAAACTGGTGACAGCTGGCTTTATGTGTGTGAGAAGCAGTGTGAGAAGTGTCATACACTCTACATTTTTAAATCTTTCTGCAAGTACCTCTGTACTTGCTACACACTAAAGGGAAGATTTAACAGAGATGCAGCCCTCTAGCTGTGTTTAGGCCCTTACTTCTGTATTAGCAACATAATGTGCACAATCAAGAAATGCAACTTCCAGTTTGCTTGTATTGGAAAGGTGAATTGAAGAAGAGAGTGAAATTTTCGTGCACCAAAACTGTGCTGTGAAGAGAATAAAAGCACAACAAATGCAGAAAATAAGAGATTTGCCTTAATCATGCACTGCTTGTATGAGAGAAAATGCTATAGCAGTCATATTCTTAATTGGGAAACCTGACACATTAATCAGTTTTT